TCTGTCGACAAACTTTTTATCGCCTTGCAAATTTGTATTTTCCTGTCTTCCTTGAGCTGGGGTCGCGGAGAAAATTGCTCCCTTTGCCGCCTCCCTGCATGGGCGGCCCTGGCGCCGCCCTTGTCTTATCATAACTATCTACCCTAATTCAAGCTGATTGGCGCGGCTCGATGAATTAATTGCCGCTTTCAAACAGAGGTTTATTATTTTAAACCTCTAGAACCAGGATACCTTTTGTCACTCTGAGGCCAGCGAAATAACCTCTTCCGCAACATGCACGTACGCGTCTACTATCGTCAAGAAACAATACGTGTAATCGTTGTGGTCTGTGGGATTTTAATTCAATAGTGTAAACCTTGCAGTTATAGGGAAGCCTCGCATATCGATTTTTTCCACAAGAAACGTCATATGTTCGTTTTGGGGGTGGAGGAGGGGGTTTAGAGCTGTGACGTTTCTCTGTAAATATCATGGAAAAGTTCGATAGTTTTTTCGAATACCTTAACATTTCGGAATCAACTTTGCAGAGTATAGAAAAGAAAACAACTTGACTATTCAAACGACGACTATTCAAATATAAGGGCTGGTAAACTAAAAATGAAAACTCCTTATATGGATAAACATTATAAACGTTCATTTCACATGTACAGTACACGCACGCTAACAGCTGCTTAATAATTAACTTACGTATATTTGTAAACATCAGTCGATAAATAAAATGGTACATTAATATGGACAAAATGGATCAAAACCTCTGAAAACAGCACTTGTAGTTCCAATTCTTTTGGGGAATTTAGTAGCAAATATAATCCTTAAATAGCTCATCGATTTGTATATGTTAGCGCTAAAGTCAAACGGCCGGGTCGTAGTTCACGTTGAATAATGATCTGAAGTTATCATGCAACCGTCAACAATGTCTCAAAATACTGGATGTTTGATGATATTTTTTTACAAATATACCGGGATTTCTGGACCACTTTTAAAGTTAGCAAAGCGAAAAGACCCATTCAAGAATATGTTTTTTCTCAAAAGGTAAAATACTTAATTAGAAGTCTTAGAATACTTGATTAATTGTTTACTTCGACGGTGTATAAATTAACAGCGTTTGACTTGCAAGACGTCAAAAACGGAAGATTTCAACGCGCTGTCGTTTATCGCGTATTCATTTGCCAAAAGAAGTATTTACGTCAATTGAAAGCATGTTTATTAAAGAGCCAACTGGTAGAAGCATGATCGATTTGGAGCTTTATCGCATGGTGAAAATCGATTTTGTTAAGAGGGTATCGTAAATGAAGTAAGATAGTGTGCTCCAAAACTACGATAATTTCTATTCCTAAAAGTAATTCAGATTTCCTGTAACTCATGTACACAGTCCTTTGAATAACCGAAAACAAGATTTTTAGGGTTTTAGATCGATTAGAAACGGTTGTCGTCGTGAAATTTATCTGTAAAATCAGCGCATATTTTCCCAGACAAAATGGCGATTTAGGGTGGTCGTGTTAAAACGGCATTTTCTCAAAGTTAAAAAAGCATTTGACCTAAAAAAATATATGGTGCATTTTCCGATATAATAAGGTATATCTGGGCACAATTTGAGCAAAATCGATTTTTCAGTGGTGGCCGCTTTATGTTTGATTTTTGTGGACATCCTCTCTTAAACTCTAAGCGCGCAAAGCTTAATTGGAGCACAAGTTTCAAGCTTAGTATAGTTGAATATTGCAGCTATTTGTGAATGAATTGTACTCGCAAGGAGATATTTACCATGTCTCTACTAAGAAATGGGCCCTATATATGATTTCTAAACTGATTAAATGATGCTCCCATTATGCTTTGCACGCTTAGAGTATAAGGTTTAAGGTTTAGAGTTTAAGGTTTGCAAAGGACAACCTTTTTTGAATTAACTGTATACAATTGTTTTAACTTTCATATACATTATATGCAGTAATATTCAATTCAGTGCGGCTAACTCCGATGTATGCCATTGTGATTATACCGCGCTGCCTCGTGTTTTGTATGTCACTTTATTATTGTACAGTATGTTTTTGCTAGGTTCATGTATGTCAATGGGTCAAGCATAGCTAATATTGGGGGGAAAAGCATGTCTAAGTGAGATGGAGCGTTTTATCGTTAATCAGAATGCCCATATAATCCATATATATTGTGTGATGGAGCACGGCTTCTTTGTTGTTTTCCGATTGCCCGAATAATTACATATTTGCAGCACTGTTATGGAATACTCAATTTGATTATTCCACTGCTTTGTGTCTTGCATGTTATTTTATCATTGTACAGTATGTTTTTGTTAGGTTTAGGTATGTCGATGTCAATGGGTCAAGCATTGCTAATGTAGTGGTGCAACTCAAATTTTGCTTGTCTGCGTTCTTTAATCTTTTCTTTCAGAACATCCTTTATGCCGTTGAATGTCTTCGGCATAAACATTTAACTGTCTTCGGCATAAACATTCAACTTGGATAGTTATGCTATTGAATGTCTTCAACTCCGATAGTTATGCCGTTGAATGTTATCGGCATAACCATTCAACTTGGATGTTTATGCCGTTGAATGTCTTCGGTATAAACATTTGACCGTCTTAGCTTCGGCATATCTTCGGCATAAACATTCAACTTGGATAGTTATGCCGTTGAATGTCTTCAACTTGGATAGTTATGCCGTTGAATGCCTTCGGCATAACCATTCAACTTGGATGTTTATGCCGTTGAATGTCTTCGGCATAAACATTTGACCGTCTTCGGCATAAACATTCAACTTGGATGGTTATGCCGTTGAATGTCTTCAACTTGGATAGTTATGCCGTTGAATGTCTTCGGCATAACCATTCAACTTGGATGTTTATGCCGTTGAATGTCTTTGGCATAAACATTTGACTGTCTTCGGCATAAACATTCAACTTGGATGCCGTTGAATGTCTTCAACTTGGATGGTTATATGCCGTTGAATGTCTTCAACTTGGATGGTTATGCCGTTGAATGTCTTCGGCATAAACATTCAACTTGGATGGTTATTCCGTTGAATATGTCCTCAACTTCGATGGTTATGCCGTTGAATGTCTTCAACAATGGATGGTTATGCCGTTGAATGTCTTCGGCATAACCATTCAACTTGGATGTTTATACCGTTCAATGTCTTGGGCATAAACATTTGACTGCATGTCTTCGGCATAAACATTTAACTTGGGTGGTTATGCCGTTGAATGTCTTCAACTTGGATAGTTATGCCGTTGAATGTCTTCGGCATAACCATTCAACTTGGATAGTTATGCCGTTGAATGTCTTCAACTTGGATAGTTACTGTAAATCGAAAAGCTAATGTAAATAAAAAATCGGTGGGTTTCATAGTTTTACTGAAACCACTTTCATTCATAATTCACAGCAAAATTCATGCAAAGGTAATCATCACCTTTATTATCTTGATAATGTATCATAATCTGTCAAGATATGATGGCCTGGAAGCCCGCCAAACATCAAAGCCCCCAAAAAGAAGGCCTTTGTTTTGTTGAACTGTTTCGCAACTTTCTCCTCCGCGCACTCACACACGGAATAGGGACTGTATCACAATCTGGGGACTGTATCTTTCATTTATAGTATTTATTATATCACATTCAATACAACAATCCTTTCCAATCGAACTACAAACATTTGTCGATCAACTATATTATTACCATCCAATTATATTGGCGTCGTCCGGAAGTTGCCGCCTTGCAATAATCATTTATGTTTTACTAGAATTAATTATAAAATACTTGACAAACTGTTCCTCACCGTGCACAAATCCTTTGTCTCAACTTCATTAAATATTATGATCGTTGTTGCACATTTCACCTCAGCTATCCCTATTGGACGATTACTTCATATACGCAAAAATACAATGATCTCAATCACCATGACCGTGCACAAATTAACGTAAACTCTGACAAAAACATAACGAATATTAATGACTTCTGTTTAGTTTCCAGGCCATTATGTTTTGATAGTCTATGTTACTAGTCATACTACAGTAATACAAATTCATCAGTGAATTATATCAGCTTAAATATCTCTTTAAATACTGATTTGTTTGAGAAGCTATCGTACACTCAAAGTAAATTATATTGCTGTGCCTGTGACTGTTTTTAAAAAAAACCTCGAAAATCTCGAAGAAACTTTGGTAATCATATCGAGATCTGAGCGTTGGCAACATGTTTTTTAACACACTTTTCTGTGTCTTCTTTCCTGTGCCCAAAGGCAAAGGTCGCCAGTACTGCAGGCTTTATTGCAATCAGTATTGTCTTAAAATAACCAGTGTTCCATCTCATGTTGTCTCTATAGGGAATTGGTGATACACCACTATACACATAGCATATGACAAAGGTCATCTGAGCACGTGTAAAATCTTACTGGAGAACGGAGCGAATATATAGATGCTCCTGCATGATTCTTCTAACAAGCTTCCTATTCACAGGTATGGCATACATAAATTTACAGACGAGCAGTTTCTATGGTGACAGGTTTTTATACGACAAGTTTTGTTCGCTCGGTTGCACATGCAACTTTGCCAGGTTTTTCTTTGACAAGTAAACACTTGCACAACACTTGCCCAACACTTGCTCAAATTAAATTGCAAAAGCTAGCATTAACTTTTGAACAAGTGCACTTGTTGTAGAAAAAACTGGCAAAGTACGGACGGGTCAACACTTGGTCAGCACTTGAGTGCAGTTGGACAGCGATATATTGTTGTATTATTTATTTGGCAGCCTGAAAGCCAACTTGACTTATAGCGAATTTACTGTAGTTGCCGTACGTAGACAAATTCGTGTTTGTTAATTTAAACAAGTTTTTGCTACGTATAATCAACTGACTCAGGGAGAATATACGACCTCAGTGGTCGAAAAGTGGTTGAATTAAGTCAGAATAGAAGTTTGATGCCTTTTTCACTTTTTTGTCTGATTTTCGGAAAAGCGCCATGGGAAGCTAAATCGAAATGAAGCGGAACGAGAGAAACTCGGAAGAGACAACCCCCCATTAGAGAGTTTGAGCAAGACAACGAAGTACGAAGACGAAGGCATGCATACCTGACAATTTTTGCCGTCTGCACATTACCTTGCGCATACTGAGTTGGACGTCACTGGTGGTTGCTCAACGTGTCTTCCCATGTGTTGCTTTTTATGAATAC